CGCCACTCGGCGGGCGCCCGGCTGGGGCAGCTGCTGGCCCGCGGCGGCCGCCAGCAGTCGCTGGACGCGAGCCACCACTCAAGCGTTGGGGGTGCCGGCGACGCACCGCCAGGTGGGCGGCCGGCCTGGGGTTTGGGCTGGGCCGGGGCCAGGGTTTAGGGTGCAGGGGTTTGCCAGGGTTTAGGGTGCAGGGAGTTTGACGCTCACGGCTGTGTGCAGGACAGGCTGTCTCTTCGCCGCCGGTGCTCCGTGCCGCGCGCCTGCTGTCCCCTCTTGCCGCACAACTCTGCGAACGCAGCTCGGCGCGACGGCCCCCCTGACCTCCCCGCGCGACCGAACCCCCTCCGGCACGCGCCCAGCCGCAGCCGCGGCTGCAGGCGAGTCCGCCTCCTCCGCGCCCGGGCGGCGCGGCGCCCGCGCGCGCAGCTCCGCCCTCCTCCAGCTGCTGCGCGCCCGCAGCGGCGGCAGGGCGCGGGGGCTGTTCAACGGGCTGCGCGTGCGCATGGGGGTGGCCACGGGCGCGTTTGCTGACGGGAGCTACAACCCCGTGATCGAGCTGGCAAAAGGTGGGGGGACGCTCACGCCGGGCTCCAGGCGTGAGCAGCAGCCACTGCTGCGCGCGCTCGCGTGGCAGCGGCGGCGGCCCCGATAGGCGACGCGTTCTGTGTGCAGCCTGCAGGGCGGGGGCTGCGGCGAGCAGCCGTGTCTGCATGCGCGCCCGCGCGCCCGCTTTGTTCCCAACTCCCAAGCTGCCACCAAATCTGCGCAGCACCGTTTGGATTGCTTTTGCCCCCCCCTACTAATGCACTCCCTGGATCTGCCTTTCGTATCATGCACTATGCCTTCTCACTCCCCGCCCCCCCTCTTCGCATCTGCCTAAACCCCAACCCCAAAAACCCACACAGCCGTCAGCGACCTGGCCAGCGGCGGGCAGGTGTTCGTTGACGGCCCCTCCTTTGATGGCGTGAAGGGCCGCCTCAGCGAGCTGGGGGCGCTCGGCCCAGAGGGCGCGGACGCCCGGGCGCGCGGCGCCGGCTGCTGGTGCGCGGCGACCTTCACCTGCCACGGCCGCCTGGGCCGCGCGCGCCGGCGTTCCCGGGCAGGGCGCCTGCTGCGCTCGCGGGCGCCGCTCCCTGCGCTGTCCCTCACATGTGTCAGGCGCCCCTTGAAGCGAGAAGCGCGGCCGCAGATCGGGCCGCTGAGTATCAAAGTACGCAACCCTTTCAAAACAGCACCAGCTGCATCCGCCCCAAATTCTGGGTCCTCCCCACCCCGAATCACGACCCTGCCGGCGCAGTTGGACCTCCATCCCCCGCACTCTCCACTCCACACTCCCCGCCTCCGACTCGTTCCCGCCTCGCCCTGTGCCTGCTCAACCCGCGGCCCCCTCAGGCGCGCCCAGAAGCAGGGGGCAGACGCGGTCGCCCTGGACATGGGCGAGTGGCGCCTCCCGGGGCTGGAGTCCTGCGCGTCCTTGCGCGCCCCCCTGTCGCGCGCCCCCACGCGCGGCGGCGCCGCCGCCGCCGCTGCGGCGCCGCGACGATCGGCGCCGCGCGCGGTCGGGGAGGCGGCGGAGGGCGGCGGCGCTGCGGCGCGCTGGGCCGACGAAGACGACGTCTTCGGCGCCGCGGGCGGCGTCGCGGACGGCGGCGGCGCGCGGGCCAGGCTGGG